TCTGAGATCATTTGTGGCCTCAGAGCTCTAAGACATCACTGTATGCTCTATGATTGTCCTAGTTGGCCATCTTTAGTGTCCTGCGGGTTACAGCAGATTTATTTATTTATAGATGTCAACTTGGTCAGCTTTTGCAGTATTTAGGAATATATATTTCTACTAAATGCACTGACTCTAATCTTTGCTCTGCTGAAATTTTTATTGTCAGTTACAAAGGTCCGACGGGAGCTGGGTAAATTGGTTTTTAGCTAGCTGCTTGTTGTGCTTGGAGCCTTGGGAAAAAAATAAAATAAAAAAGAGTCCTAAAACTGAGGGAACTGGTCACCTTAGACTCTTTTACAAGATTTTTAGCTGTAACATAACTAAATTTACAATTTTTTTTTCATGTTTTAAAATGTGTCTCCTAAAGTCATTATAGAAATACACATGTATATAAATAATTATATAAAACATATTCATTTGTTTCTATTGTAACAGCATATTTAAAAGGTTTTTTAACATATTTACACATATTTAAAATTCTCCTTCTCACACATAAAGCCTTAAACAGCCAAGCTCCAGCTTATTTTAGAAATATGATAATTCCCTATGTTCTTAACAGAGCACTTCACTTTAAATCTGCAGGTTTACTAGTGGTTCCTAGAATTTCTAAAAGTAGAATGGGAAGCAGTTCTTTTAGCCATCAGGCTCCTCTGCTGTGGAACCAACTACCAGTTTTAGTCCATGAGGCACAAATCCTGTCTTCTTTTAAGGGTTGGCTTAAAACTTTCCTTTTTGATAAAGCTTATATTTAGAGTGGCTCAGGCTATCCTGAGCTATCTCTATAGTTATGCTTATATGGGCTTAGATTGCTGGAGGACAAAGGGACCCCTTTTTCATCATTCTGCTTCATTCTATCTCTATTCTCCCACACTGAAGAATTTGTTAGTACAGTTTCTAATGCTTTGCTCTCTCTGCTGCTATCAATACCTTTGTTTATAGATGTTTTAGCTCTGTCTGTTTTTCACAGTAGTTCTGTTTCTCTTAGTGCGCCTGCCTGGATGTGCTCTCCTTCATCCTCTGATGTTGGAGCTGGCTCAGAGCTTGTCTGCCTAGCTCTGTATTTCCTGGATGGGGATGCCTGTGGAGCAGGTTTACAACTGCCTTTTGTATCTCTGCTTCTTTGTCTACGTCTGCTTCTGTCTCTTTGAACCCAACTCGGCCTCAACAGATGGCCACTCACACTGAGTCTGGTTCTGCTGGAGGTTTCTTCCTGTTAAAAGGGAGTTTTTCCTCTCCACTGTTGATACAAGCATGCATAGTGTGAGGTACTGTCTTTGAGTCAATAAGCTGTTGCAATCAATTGGTTTTCCTTATATAGAATATTTGAATCAATTTGACTGTATGATATGGTTGAATTGAAGTACCTTGAGATGACATGTTGTGAATTGGTGCTATATATAAATACATAGAATTGAATTTAACACAAGTTGCGATTTTCAGGCTCGCATTGTGAGAAAAAAATTTGAATGATTCTGAATTTGGAATCAAATGGTGATTTGAGGTCAATCAATCTTCCAATATAAAGTTGTCAGAAATCAACTCTTGAGAATAAACTTGAACAATGTTTTATAACTTTTGGCAATTCAAATCTTGCATTTCATATTTTCTACTCTTCAACTTATCTCATAGGGCGGTGTTGACCTTCCCCTCCTTTTTGTATTTTTCTTACACTATTTTTTTCATAATTTTTTTTTTTTTTT